GAGGAATAGCTTCAGCTTAAAAACATGTGAACGTGCTGGTGATGAAGGATTCTGAATGGAGTAATTAAAAGAGAATGACTTTAATAGTTTAATTGGAAAACATTTAATTGGATTGTGATAGTGGATTAAGCACGTGGCTTTGAATTTGGGTCATTAATAGAGGGAAATCTATCAAACCAGTAAAAGCTTTAGTGGGAAATTATTGAGGTGTGAGAGTGATGACGTTTCAAGGCTTTAAAATCAATACATAGATACATTTAGGGAAGTTTAACAGTGTTCTCCAGAATGATACATCTATTTTTTTTTTAAGTAAACTGGGTTATGCATGCAGAATATCGAGGATTTAAATTGATGCTTACAAAAAAAAGTAATTTTGAGTCAATATTAATTCTCCCTCTTTAGATCTAGTTTCCTTGTTAAATTTGACGTGCACTTTCTACAACTTGTACTCTATTATGACCACTAGATTAGTTCATTAACCAGGATTAGTATTATTAATGATTTGATATCACCACACCTCCCCTCCCATTGATTTTCTTCTTGACCTCTTACCTGCGTGAAATAAAGCATTTGTCTCTTCATTTGTTTATTTAGGCTATATACTTAAGTGCCTGCTGCTTTCATTTTTGCTTGCATTCTAATTAATGAGACAACTTTAAGTGTTATTATTTATGGAGGATTCAACAAAATGGATACAACTATTGTTTATCTTTTGTGGTCTCAAACATTATAAGTGACGATGCAAAACCATTGAATCTCCTTGTGGATAATTTAACAATGAGAAGGAATTTACTATAAAGTGGAGAGTTCATGTTTTATGGATATTGTGCCATAGGAACTCAAGTACCTAAATAGGCAAGACTGGTCTGATATTGATAATGGAGATCACCTGAAATGTCGTGATTAGATTTATACGTATCGTACTTATCTTGTTTGATTCTGTGTTTGACATGCATGACGTTACGGAAAAATTATTGTTTGATCACCTAGTTGCCATCCAATAGGAGAGACTGTGCATGAAGACGACTCCTGTTAAAATATGATTTATAAACGTGCTTTCATAGCATGGCTATGCTCTCGATATCGACATCCCGATATGAGATTTTTCCTTGGCTATTACTATTATAGCATCGACTAGACGATGCATCTATCTTGATTTGGACATGTTCTGGGTCACGGTTATTTTTATAGTTTTACAGAAGTCGTTCCTCGGTAATACTGTGGTTAGTGCACAACATTTCATGCACAGTCACTAAAAATGTAATTGACAAACATGGGGTTTATAAAGGGGAATTAGACGGAGAATATAACATGTATATAAACGGGCATATGCGCATTCCTGATATCCTGAGTTATATATACATTGGGCAAAGGGCCAATTCCTGACTTGAAGCCGTGTTCCTGGGACGGTTTACGGGGAACCGATTTATATACATGAAAATATTCTTCTCTCTTTCAAATAACATGTAAAATAAGAATAATGTGTTTACAGGCTTTGTGATAGTTTTGGCATGCACGACATGTCCTGGATGAGGTTTTGATGATGTATATTTGTATTGTTGTGTATAGAATTTTGGGAGTTAAAATTTAGAGATTTACAATTTGAGACATATAGTATATACGAGGGTTTCCTTGTTTGGATTATTCCCTCGACGTACTCATCTCTCATGTTGTGGGTTTCTAAATCTTACCTTCCTTTAGCACGTATTTGATATCCATGTTTAGAAACTTCCTTTATCATCTTTAATTGAGTTTTCATCGTATTTTGGTTTATAAGATAGACATTTTCTTTTATCACTGAAAATTTAGAATTTATCTTTCATTTATATCTACCACTTATACTTATACGCGCATAATTTTCTCATTTTACATGCTTGCTGGGAGTTTTCTGACTCCCCTGGGGTTTGCATGCCCCAGACTCGGAAATTGTTCTTTCTTCGCAGGACCAAGAGCACTTTAAGGATTAAGACCAACGACAGTGATCACCTTCTGTCCCTTCTCTCTCTCTCAGCTTCGGTTTACTTAGATAGTATTTGCTTTAGACTATTCCTGTAATCACCTGTGTTTATCCGAACTTTGATGTAAGTATCCATTGTCTACTTTTAATAGTTGTGAACATGTAAGAGAACTGTTTTGTCAGATATTTCATTATCCATCTATTTTCTTTGTTATCTTAGTTACATGCTCTATGTAGTAGTTCTTGGAAAACTTATGTGTACAGGATGATTCAGAGGCGTGAATGTGACCTTATAGTTGCATTACCGGCCGAGTCACGTCCCAAAATAAAAAAAAATAGAACCGGGGCGTGACAGAATCAATGTCTGAAAAAATCAAATCAAGAGGTATATCTTATAACTTCTATCTATATGATGCATCATTACCTTTTCGGATTTATTTGATGCTATATTTCAAAATCATTACCAGTGTTTTCAAAAGCGATGTCGGGCGCACGCCTCGTGCGCTGCGGCGCTACGGCGCGGTGGAATAGCGCCCCGCATGGGGTGCGTGGCGCTGCACTTGCTCCATGCGTGCGCCTGCGTGCACCTTCGAGCGCCTCGCGTGCGCTGGGAAGGCGATCGCCTCAGAATTTCAAGGCGAATGGCTTCATTAAATGCGGCTATCGGGTAGAAACGGGTAGAAACCCGACTCAAACTTAAATCCAAAAAAGCCAAAACAAATCTAACCTATTACAGGAGCTAGGGTTCTTCACTTCGTTGTCTCTCTTCGTGTTCGGTGGCGACGAACAGGGAACGAGGAGCTCGGTGACGACGAGAACCGGCGATGAACAGGGGACAGTGAGCTCGGTGACGACGAGAACCAGCGACGAATTGGAAACGTCGATTTCGGTGACGACGAGAACCCGCGAGCTCGGCGAACAAAGGTGATTTTTCATTTATTTTTGCTTCCCTTTCTCTTTTTCACTTTTTTCTGTTTTTCATCTGTTCTCACATCGTTCTTTCATCTTTTCTTTTCTTTTCTTTCATTTCTTTTCAATTTTTCATCTCACGACGAGAACCATCGGTCTTTTTTTTAATTTTTTGCTGCTACTGCTCTTTTCACTTTTTCTGTTTTTGTTTCCATTTCTCTGTTTTTCATCTTTTCTTTTGTTTCCCTTTCTCTGTTTTTGTTTCCCTTTCTCTGTTTTTCACTTTTTTCAATTTTTATTTTCTCTTTTTTGCTGTGTTTTTCATCTGTTCTCCCGTCTTTTTTTTCTCTTTTTTTCTTCTTCTCAGGTGAACGTTTGACTGTTAATGATTGAGATAGTAAGCCAGTAAAGTGATTTTTAATTGATATTAGGTAATTATTAAAGTGATTTGTGGACTATTTTGATTAATAATAGGCTATGATTACTTATTGTTTGATCACTTGATTAATTATAGGCTAATGATTTTCAATTTTACAAAGAGAGATTTAAGGGGAGATTTGTCTTATCTTAAATTAAATGTGCATATGTATGACTGTTGAAATGTGCAGATTGCAGATTCATGAAATTATGAACATTGCTAGTACTATTTGCTTCTTATTAATACATATTACATATCAGTCAAAATTGTTGAAAATGTGCTGCTATTTGATTTCTTGTGCGAGACTGCGAGTATTGATTCTTGCTATTTGAGCTAGTTGTAGTGCTACAAGTTGACTTGAAAGTTGAAACTTGAAACTTGATTCGCCATTTGTAATCTTTAAAGAGGAAAATAAAATTTAGCAAACTAATTTGCAAGCTCGAATGAAAATTAACGTACAAGTTAAACTGTTAAAGTGTTTAACATTTTAATTCACCAAGTCTAAATCTATGTGTTTCACTGTTTTGATGTAGATATGTCTTCATCGGCGAGTGGTGAAAGAAGACAAGATCCTACATGGAAATATACTTCATTAGTTGATGATGGGAATGCCAATAGACATAAGTGCATATTTTGTAACAAGATCACAAATGGCGACATATCCCGACAAAAAGAGCATCTAATCGAGACGGATAGAAAACGCAAAAATGTGAGTCTTTGTCAAAAAGTCCCTCCCGATGTGGTTGAAGAGCTAAAAGATTATGAAGAAAGACAAAAGATAGCTAAAAGATAACAAGCTATAGATGAATATCTCCCTGAACTTGGAGATGAGAACATGGTGGAAATTGATGATGAGGAGGATGAAGATGAACAAGTACAAGAACGTAGAGATAGAGGAAAAAGCCAGGCAGTTCCTAGGTCATCTTCAGTAAAGGCAAGAGGAAGAGGGAGTGTTGGCATGCACAGTGCGGGATCTTCCACAGGCCCAAATAGGGAGGGGCCGATGGATGCATTTCTTACATTTGATCCCGCTCTTGAGGTCGCCAAGGATGAAAGAAGGCGCCAGTTGAGACAATCGTGTATTAAAGAAAGCCTCAACAAAGATGCAGTGGCTAAAGTGCATCAAGACATAGCTCGGTGGTGGTATCAAGCCGGCATTCCCTTTAATGCTGCTCGTCTTAGATCTTTCAAAATCATGTTAAAGTCCGTGGGGGCTTTTGGGCCTAACTTGCCTCCTCCGACATTACACCATTTGAGAGAGCCTTTGCTTAGGAAGGAGAAAAAATACACTGATGATCTGATACAACCTCATAAAGAGGTGTGGGCTACGAAAGGTTGTTCTTTCATGTCAGATGGTTGGAGTGACAGAAAGGGGAGAACATTGATCAATTTTCTTGTGAACTCTCCTCGTGGTACGGTGTTTCTTTCATCTATTGATGCGTCTGATGAGATCAAGACGGGTGACAGAATGTTTGAGATACTTAGTGAGCAGATTAAGCTCATAGGACCTTAGAATGTTGTTCAGATCGTCACGGATAACCATTCTAGTCTCAAATATGCAGGTAAATTTTATTTTGGTTATGAATCCTTTGCTAATGCTATGTTAGGATGCTCTGATATTGATCTTTTTTTATTCTTTTATTTATAGGAGCGGAATTGGAAAAAGAGTATCCCCATTTATATTAGACTCCTTGTGCTGCTCATTGTATTAATCTAATGCTCAAGGATATTGGTAAACTACCATCTGTGAAGCTAACCTTGAGTCGAGCTATGGAGTTGACTGGATTCATCTACTCACATGCGTGGGTTTTGAAGCTGATGAGAGGTCAAACTAACGGCAGAGAGCTTCTTAGACCGGCGGTGACACGATTTGCCACATCATTTATGACTTTGTCAAGCATCCATCGACAGAAAAATAACCTCAGAAAGATGTTTAATTTGGAGACATGGAGGCAAAGTAAGTGGGCAAGAGATTCAAAGGGAAAATCAGCTGAAAGGATAGTTCATATGCCATCTTTCTGGAACAACATTGTTCGTATTCTCAAGCTGACGGCTCCTCTTGTTGGTGTTCTAAAACTTGTTGATGGTGACAAAAAGCCTGCTATGAGATACATTTATGAGGCGATGGATAGAGCTAAGGAGACTATTGCTAAAGCCTTTGGTGATGATCTTTCAAAATATTCTGAGGTATTTGATATCATTGATAAGAGGTGGCAGGATCAGCTTCATCGGCCTTTGCATGCTACAGGATATTACCTTAATCCTGCATTTTTCTATGACCATCCAAATATCCAAGGGGAAGACGAAGTTATGAGAGGTCTTTATCAAGTCATTGAGAAGATGGTGCCCACACAAGATCAAGACAAGGTTGATAGACAGTTGGATATATACAGGCATGCTGGGGGTCTTTTTGGTATGGAGATAGCTAAAAGAAATAGAAAGAAGAAGTCTCCAGGTAAATATGCATAATATAAACTCTCAATTGACTAGATTTTTATAAGAAATACACTACTAATCACAGTCTTTTTAAATTGACAGCTGATTAGTAGGAGTTTTATGGTGCATCAGCACCAGAGTTGCAGAAGCTTGCTGTTAGAGTCCTCAGCCTTACTTGTAGCTCCTCCGGCTGTGAAAGAAATTGGAGTACTTTTGAGCAAGTATGATTTGTTTTATTTTATTGAACAAAATACATTTAATTCCCTTAGAGATATGGATATTGATTTGATTGATTTGTATAATTTACAGATACACACCAAGAAGAGGAATAAATTAGATCATAAGAGGCTGCAAGATCTAGTTTACTGCAAGTACAACCAAGCTTTGAAGGAGAGATATGACTGTAGAGATTCTATTGATCCGATTAAGTTGGTTGATATAGATGAAAGCAATGAATAGTTGTTAGGACAGTTCGGTGAAGGTGAAAATGCAGAGAATGACTTGGTGGAGGGCGAGGACAACCTTACATATGGTGTCATAGGAGATGCGATGGGAGCTGAAGAAGATGATTCTATGTATCTAAGATCGACTAATAGGTTTCGAGGGTCTTCGAGTGGTATTGGTTCTTCGTCGAGGAGGGGGGAGCCAGTTTCTGAGTCAGAAGATGAAGAGGAGTTTAATGATGAGGAGGAGGAGACTGAAGATGAGGATATACCCTTAGAAGGGGATGATGATGATGTTAATGAGGATGATTAGAATCATTAGGCTATTATTTTGCTACTTATTTGCTTTGTTTAATTAGATTGCTTGTTTTGCTTTGATGTTAGTGAACTTTGGAAGTGTTCTAGTTGCTTAGTTTTTTTGTTTTGATGGACATCTTGATTTACTTTAATGATTAAAACTTTATCTTGTGATCCGGTAGTATATATTTTATCTTGAGTCCTTGACATTTTCTATGTGAAATTTCACAAATATTTATTTTTTCCATGCATCTTGTATAGTTGTATATCTTCAAAAAATTTGTGGTCTAGAGTGCGCCTCGCTTCGCTCGGGTGCGCGCATCGCATTGCGCCTTGCGCATGTACACATAAACTGACTTTGCGCCCCGCATTGCGCCTCGCGCATTGAAAACACTGATCATTACCTTTTCTACATTATGATGTATATTTTTCATACAATGCATCAGAGGTACACTTGAAAGTTGGTCACATATATGCATGATAGCACTTGTAAAATTCAAAGCATATATGTTTGTCTAATATATGAATAACAGACATATTCAAATAAGCTATATATAAAACGCCTACTAGGCAAAGTTATGATTCTAGACTTTGTAAAGTCTGAAAAGAATCTTGATGATCCTTGACAAAGGGTCTATCTAGGAGTGCAATTCTAGAATCATCGAGGGGAATGGGGTTAAGCCCATAGTAGAGTTCACTGACAGCGGGAACCCAACCTTTGATTGATGAATTATTCTTATGAAAAAGGTTCAATGTGGTAGAAACAAACTGGATTGGTGATCTCGTGTGGAGCACTGACCTTCGGAGTTATACTCCTTTTGTAGTGTTGGATGCATTTATGACTTGCACCATGTTAGCTACTTCCCCATTCCTATAGTGACAGTGCTCTTATGATGTGACTCGGCAGGATGAGTTCTACTCTTAATAAGTCCAACCTTTGTAGGGGGTGCAATATCCAGTCACAGTAACATTGGAGGACTTACCTACGTGAGAGGAACTGTGACGGTCGCGGTTGGGGACATGGGGCTGAGTCCTAGTAACTCTCATGAGACGGTTATTGTGAGCATGGCCATTATCGCTCCAACCCGCTTGCTCAATAAATGGATGCATATTATGTGTGCTTTTGTTAATTTCTGATCAAAGGGGCCTAATTCAAGGTCTAATCCATTATGCTCCTCAGATTGCGACAAATGTCACTAAGCAAAGATTCAAAGCCGAAAGCTATCTTTGCCGAATTCATAATATGAGGTTGCTCGACCTATATTTTGTTACCATTATTATTGTTTTTGTTATTATTATCAATCTTTGGGGGGGGGGGGGATTGTTGGAATTAATTAAAAGATTGAAGTTTCTTCTTTAATGCAAATATTATCTTTTGAGGGGTGTATTTGCATATTACCTATTTTTTTCATTATATTCTTTCCTTATCTTTCCTTCTATTCCTCCGAGCGGTTTTAAGAAAAAAAATCCCGTAATTCCTCCCCATATTTCGGCAACGTTGGCGTCATCTCTGGCCTCATCAACGAGTGTGAATTCCTCCTCCTTGATGGCAACAATTATTCCAACGGGAAGATAGCTATAAAAAGATCACGATGAAGGATGAAAACACAGGAAGAAAAGTGAGCAGCTTCTGTTCTCTCTCTCTCTGACTTATATTCTCTACAATTGATTTCTAATTTTATTTTTGGGGCAAACATCCATTGAGCAAGAGATCAAAGTTCACAGTAAACTTTGGCGCTGGCTTATCTTGGGGGTTCTTACGGCTAGGCGTAGTCGCATTGAATCGTCTCTGCGAAGGCGGTGACTATTATCTAGGACAGTGATCACACGATTACCCCTCTCAGGCCTGCGTTTCTAACCTTTCTAAAATTACTCTTTTGTTTATTTGCAGTGACTTTTCTAACAGAAGTATCATCCCTAACTATAAAATTTGCTCAAAAAGCAGTAAAAATTAACTTTCTTTTTTCGCCTATGTTCAGATGTGTTTTTAAAAGAAGGATACACATCCTTGAGTTTTCCTTGAGTTTTCTTTATGAAAAACTCTTGGAACATGTAGTCTTTGTCATTCTATATTGAAGAATGAAGATATGATAGCTATGCATGCATCAACAAATATTGATGTGGCGGTGCATTTGGAAGTTTAGAGTTGTTATGTAATTCATAATCAGTATTCTTAACTTGCTGATTTTAAGGAGATCATTCGATCATCATTAACCAGGTTCAAGTTTATAAGAATTCTGAACCAGATTCTTAACTTTTGAGTAATGACTAACAACATTTTCAGATCCCTGTTGAGCTATATATATAAAGGAATAGGAAAATACAAAACGTCACCTTCGATTGTTCGGACTTCCAAAATTTGAGCAAAGCATTAAATTGTGGTTCATGTACACTATCTAGGCGCATCTTCTTCCTTTGTTTGTCATTTTTTAATCTGTCAAAGCACTTCTTCAAATAGCATTTCCAGCGCCTCCATGCACAATTGACAGTTTCTAAGGTTCGTTTTTTCCCTTCTTCCGGAATGTCGTATGTTTCCTACATTGGCGTAATCAAACATGGGAATTTTCATTATACAAACTTGATATAAATAAGAGAAAAAAGTCAAAAAGGAATATAAGTTGGTGATTGAAAATTAAATTAGTACCTTCACATACTCCCATATTCTTTCTTTGTCTTTTTCTTCAAACTTGTGCCAATTCTCCTTATTGAGAGGTGCAAAAGTCACGTCTCTTCCAAGTGTACCTAAGAAACTGCTAAATTCACTACAAGCCTTATCTGACGGTCCAATAGGTTAGTAACTTTCATTTAAAAAACAACTTGTCGATCATCTTCAGTTCGTGCATGAACTTTTTCGCATTTAGTTGGCCCTCGACGCCTTTTGGGTTTGTCTACTATTTCAATGGCTACCTCCCTTGATGATTCTGATCCTACATTTTTGTTTCCTGTTCATTTAAAAAAAGATTAATGAAGTATAGAAACACGAGATATATTAGCAATTATTGAGGCTTTAGTCATAAACTACTTCAGCAATAACATGCTATGAAATTTGATACATTAGAACTATCATTTGATGAAATAGCAACAAATTAAAGATAATATCTCGAGTACAGTAACATTACATAAGTTAGCAAGTGAAATAGAGAGGATAAACAAATACCTTCAGTAACTCTCTAAATAAACAGAATAGATCATATAATTTCAAACATGGACATCAAAAGCAATTCACCCAAAGCTCTGGATTATAATCACAAGTAAATTGTATCAAATATGATACTACTTAAAAAAAAACCTAACCAAACATCAAATTTAGCTCATTAAGCCTCAAAATATACTCTAAACATAAAGAAAATGAACGTAGGCCAACTATACACTCCACATTTCTAATCTCATTTCTTTAAACCAACACCAAATTACATCCATCACTCCATCCAATCGCAGTCAGTTTCATCAAAGTCGGTTTCTTCATCAACTTCCATGTCATTATCTGAATCAACATACATATTTGGGGGAATAGCAACAGTGGTCCTCAGCACACCATCTATGCACCAACCAACATTATTTGTTTCATCGTCAGCTGTTGCAATCAAATAGGTAATGATGTCACTACTCTCAACCCAATATTCACCTCCATGAGTGCTATTGATGTTACTCTCAATATCATAAATGTGACTAGGAAGCTTCTTTAAAACATAATGCCAATTCTTATTGGCCTCTTCAACAGGATCCTTCACATAGAAAACTTAATGAACTCGACATGCCAAAACAAAAAGGGTCATTTAACTGGCGTTTGTTGTGAAAATTGACACAAGCCCATATTCATCTTTTTCTAAATGAAACCAGCCATATTTGAATAGCACAACACTAAATTTGCCACAGTAGTCTATTTCAATGATATCTTGTATGACTCCATAGAAAGGCAACATCTCCAGTTTTAGGATTATGGTCCCTAGAACTCGCATAGATATCAACCTAACTGGTTACAAACACACCGCTATTCTGGGATTTGCATGTATCATCTCGTACCTTGATATAAAAAGTACATCCATTCACATAATATCCTATGTATCTTTTTGCTATAAAATTAGGTCTCATGGAAAATCATTTCTGATAATTTGGCACCGATTCCAATTCAGATACCCTAGTTTTAAACCAATCATTAAAGTCCTTGATATGTTTTTGAGCTCCTACCCATCTATGTGTTCTGCTTCTTTTTCTCGATTGATTCTCAATCAAAAGTTTTTGTTCACTACATAATAATAAAAATATATTGCATTATAAGGTGAGTATGGACAACATCAAATAACAATCGCTAATTTAGAAAATGAAGCACACCTAATATAATTTTCAACTTCGTTGTTACCGCGGTTGTATAAGGCATATCGATGTGCATTAACCCAATCTAACTTGTCTAATGCAAACACTTTGTTCTTTCTTTTCCTCTTTCCACCCAAAGGATGACCTATTTTTTGGAAAAATTGGTGATGTCTCTTCGGTAGCATCAACTTTGTCATACTTAGTTGTGTATCTATTAAATCTTGTCTTTACGCCATTATGCATATATAATGAGCAAAAAAGTTAGAGACTCTTTAGCAAATATCCTTCTGCTATGGAACCTTCAGGAGCACTTCTATTACGCACATACGACTTTAGCCTACAAAGATATCTTTCTGTTGGATACATCTAGAAGTAGTTGGCATGCCCACATTCCAGAATTTGTTG